TCTTTCTTCAGTACTGGGGATTGAACCCAGAGTCTCACTTGTGCTCAGCAAGCACTCTACCACTGAACTCTAGCCCCAAGGATATTTTTTTTTTGAGGCAGGATCACTCTGTAGCCCCAGCTGTCCTGGAACTCACTATGTAGATCAGGCTGGCCTCAAACTCACAGAGATCTGCCTGCCTCTGCCTCCTGAGTGCTGGGATTAAAGGCGTGTGCCACCATGCCTGGGCAAGGATATTAACCCTTAAAGCTCATACTGATATTATACAGCTCGACTGTGCATCACTCCCTTTCCTCTCACTCCCTCTTCCTCTGATAAGGGGTTCATTGACAAGATTTGCTCTTTTATGACCTTTCAGTTTCCGCTTAGACTGATTAACCAGAACTCAGCAGACACAGACATAAACAACGATTGGCGTGCACAGCGGACTTCTCTTTTCCTAAGCGTAGGGAATTCTAGGGAGTCAGGTTCTTGGTTTGTCTCATTGTTTTTGGTGACTCCATCTTTGCTTCCTCTCTTCTGTACGTACGGTTATAACCCTTGTGATTTGATCTTATGTTTTTCGCTATAGGTTTGGAACATCTACACATGGACTTTTTAAGAAACTGGGGATTCCTGGGCCCAAACCGCTGCCTCTTTTGGGAACTGTACTGAACTACTACAAAGTGAGTGCTGTTTTAATTCCCACTCTACCTTCTGATTGCTGACAATGGCTTAGTTCCATCAAAGTGCTTCTGGGGAAGAAGTGCTAGAGTTTTAGACTCTTGGAAAACGTGTGTGCACTATGCAGAGAATGCTCAGGTTGTCTCTGAGACTCTTGTGTCAGTTTAAAAAAATGTTAATTTTTTTTACATGTTTATGTGTGTGGTTTGTGTGTGTGTGTGTGCACATGCATGTGTATGCGTGTGAATGTGGGGGCCAGAGTCAGATGTCTTCCTTGGTCACTCTTCACCTTATAGATTGTGGCAGAATCTCTCATTTGAACCCAGAGCTTGCCAATTCAGCTAGTCTAGAGAGCCATCTTGATCCAGGGCTCCTCTGTCTCTGTCTCCTGCAGGCTGAAATTACTGTAGAGTGCCACCCTTGATCAGCATTTACACAGGTGCTGGGATCTGAATTCTAGTCTTCATACATGTGTGGCACGTACTTTACCTGAGTCATCTCCTTGGCTCCTACTGTCAACTTCAAAAAAATATTGTGTGTGTGTATGTTTCTGTGTGTGTGTGTGTGTGTGTGTGTGTGTGTGTGTGCGCTACAGCATGTATGTGGAGGTCAGAACTTGTGGGATTCAGTTATCTCTTTCCACCTTGTGAGTCCCAGGGATAAAACTCAGGTAGATCATCAGTCTTGGTGGCAAACACCTTTACCCCCTGAGTCATTTTGCTACCTCTGTTGTCAACTTAACAACCCTTAAGTTTGCCTTAGGCAAGACCCCCAGACCTCCTGGACTTTAGAACCTGATGTTCAGGACATGATGCGCAGACTTTGTGAGCAACAACAACAACAAAAAGAGTCTGTTTCTTGTCCAGTGCAGATTCCAGGAAGGTGCTGCTGTACTTAATTGGTTTTTGGAGAAGATCTTGAAGGGGTTTCCAAGTTCTAGATCATCAGCCTTGTGTGCACTAGATTCAAATGTTCCTGTTTGTACCAGAACTCATGTTCAACATTTTTTCTTCTTGCTAAATAGTTCTGTAACATTAGTTTATCACAAATCTCATATATATATATATATATATATATATTGATGGACTAACTAAAAATCAATCTTTCCTTCTCATTATATATATATATATATTCACCTTTGGGGAATTTGCTTATATAATTAAATCATGTAAATCTGGAGAACGCACCAAGACACAGACAAGAACTCAGGTGGGGTAGTTTGTTGGCAGAAAAGAAACACTCCGGACAGCTCTCAACTTGAGGGTGGAGAAGCTGTCAGCTTACAGGCTGTTGGCTGGGTGCTTTTATGGGGGGGCTAGGGAATGCAGAAGATGGGGAAAATTAATTCAAGGGGAAAGTTAATTCAAGCAGAGGGGTCTGGATCTTGTCAGGAAGAAGCAGTCTCTGCTGAGACAGTCTCTTATGTCAACTGGGTCTTGGGTTATGAGATTAAGGGGGGCTGCCTCCCTTCTAAACTTATCTTAAAGGAAGCAGTTTGTGCTCAGACAGCTCTTACAGCAGTGGGTCTGGGGTGCAGGGGCCTGTTTGTCTTCTGAAATTATTTGAGAAACAGCTTTGTGCTGAGACAGGTCTAGATGCAGCTGCCTGGCCAGTTCCTGCTTTGCAAGGGGGCCTCAGGTCCTGTCTTGTGAGGCTTTACTGCACTGGGGGAGGGTCATCTGCACACCTGGACTCCAACAGCGTATACTTGAGTTCTCTATATAACTGTTGAACACCTGTGGTTCTTTCTTTGTTTCCTTCTTCTTCTTCTTTTTTTTTTTGGTCTCTTTGAGACAGGGTCTCCCTGTAGCTCTAGCTGGCCTGGAACTCTCTATGTAGACCAGGTTGTCCTTGAACTCACAGAGATCTGCCTGCCTCTGCCTCCCAAGTGCCGGGATCAAAGGTGTGCGTTATCAGGCCTGGCTCCCTGTGGTTATGTCTATGGTTTTACCTGCTGGCATGTCTGGGGATCTGAGAACTAGACAAGAGTGTTTTGTTTCATTGTTTTCTTTAGGAACTTTTTTTTTAAATTGGGATTTATATGGGTTGGGAAGGTAACCTTAAGGCATACCCCTCCCCCAGGAAATGTCCATTCTAATCCTCCTGAAGTGTTTTCTGGAACTTTCTCTTTTTCTTTGTGCCACTCTTGTAGCCAGCAGCATGCTTCAGGCCCACTGTTAGCTGGTTCCTCCTTGGAAGAAAATTTCCTTTTTTTCTTGGGGACACTCAGGTTTGCTGCCTCTCGAGGGGCCATTTCCTCCTGAGGTACGGACGTCTTTCTTTTAGGACTAAGAAGGCTTGTGCTGGCAGCAGTGGTCTCTTCAGGACCACTAACCAGCGCCTCCTTGGAGAGAGCTTTCTGAAACAGGAGGCTCTTCCATTCCATTTTCCTGAGAAGCCTCCTGGGGCTTTCTTTTTTTCTTTTTTTTGGGTTTTTCACATCTTCTCCCATTCTTCTGAACACTACTATTTTCTGAAGAGGCCCGGGCCAGCGCAGCTAGTCGCTTCTCTTCCTTTCTTGAGCGGTTCTTCTCCTGCTTTCCCAGCTTCCTGGTAACCTCAGCAGCCACTTTCTTCTGCCTGAACCACTGCTTCCTTCATGGCTTCTGGATTTTTCTGTGGAACTTCTCCAGTCTCATAGAAAGATAGCTGCTCCTCAACTTTTCTCGGAGTTTCTTCCCAAATACACTTGTAGGCGCCTCAGAGAAGCAATCAATTTGTGATGCAATATTGCATTTGTTTGCTAGATATGGGGAGATGCGGCCTTTGTTCTTGGCAGCTGCTCGGCCAGTGAAGGTGGGACAGAAAACGAGTCCGTACTTACTTTGGTGTGCTACCTCTTGTCTTTAGGGCTCTGGAAACTTGGTCCCTTTGCTGGGCCCTGGGAATCACTCAGACACTAGGACTGGCCATCACCCCCATAGAAGAGGCTTGTATAGGTCAGAGAGCTGCTTCTTCTTCTTCTTCTTCTTCTTCTTCTTCTTCTTCTTCTTCTTCTTCTTCTTCTTCTTCTTCTCCTCCTCCTCCTCCTCTCCTCCTCCTCCTTCTTCTTCTCTTCCTCCTCCTTCTGCTTCCCACTGAGTCCAATTAGTGCTGCCTGTATGCAGTCAGTGCTGCATGGTCGTAGAGCCATCCACTGGTTTGAGACAGAGCCTCCTTGTAGCCTTAGCTGGCCTGGAACTCACAATGTAGACCAGGCAGGCCTCAGACTCACAGAGATTCATTCACCTGCCTCTGCCTCTCGAGTGCTGGGATTAAAGGCGTGTACCACCATGCCAGGCCTTTGTTCCTATTTCAAACTCTGTGTGTGTGTGCCCAAAGCAGCCAGAAAAGGGCGCTGGAGGAAGGGGAGCTGGAATTACAGGTGGTTGTGAACTGCTTGATGTGGGTACTGGGAACTGAACCTGGTCCTCAGCAAAAGTAGCAAGTGCTCTTAAATGTTGAGACATCTCTCCAGTCCTAAGGATTGCTTTTGCACCTTTGTACGTTTGTTTTTGTGGTGCTGAGACTAGAAACCAGGGCCTCCTGCACACTAGACAAGCGCTCCACTGAGCTACATCTATAGCTACTTTTTTTTCCTTCAAAGGCAGCAGTTTATGCAGGAATCTGAGCAGGGAATATATGAGACTGGATGATTGACGGCTGTCTGTCTACCTCAGATATTTAATTACATAATGAGTTTAAAATTTTCTTTCCATTTTTGGTTAAATGACAAAAATCACTAGAGAAAGGATGATTTGATGAAATCATTAGAAATTTAAATGCAGAAAATGGAAAATGTGCTACATGGAATATGAATCTAAGGGGATTATCTGTGGCTAACCTGATCTGATGCCTGGCCCATGGTCAGTTCCCTAGACTGACATTCCCAAGTTCTTGTCCATGAGGCCAGCCACAAAGCCCACATGCAGGCTTCCATCTGTTCAGACTTTCCTTCCTGAAGGCTCTAGGCTTATCTTGTACATTCTTGAAAAAACACTTTGCTATTATTATTTTGTGTATGTGTATGCGTGTGTGAGTGCTGTGCATGTGTTTGCTGTATGTGCACATGTGTTTGCTTAAGAGTGTGCATGCAGAGGCCACAGGAGAATGTCTGGCATCCTGCTCTATCACTTTATCTGCTGAATTCACTTGAGAAAGTGTCTCTCAACTGAGTCTGGAGCTATCAAGGCCCAACCATGCTCCTGCATCCTGCTGTCTCCTCTCTGTATGGCACTGGGGTTAGAGGTGTGTGCGTGATCACACCTGACTTTTTGCGTGGGTTCTGGAGATTTGAACTCAGGTCCTCATTATTGCACAGTAAGTGCTCTTATCCACTGAAACATCTCTCCAGCCCCCACCTCTCATACTCTAATCCTTTTAATTGAAGGCTTGGTTGCCCAGTGACTGCTTAAGAATTTCATACTCTGGTTCCAGGCCAGCTGGGGTTACAGGGAGACCCTGTCTCAAAGACAAAGAAAAAAAATTACATACTCTGTTCCATCTGAAAAAATAATTTCCCTCTCATCTTTCTGATGTAGATTTTTTAGTAGAAAAGCCACACATTTCTGGAATCTTCTTTTATATAGTTTAAAATTTACAACTGCAAGTTAACTCCAGGGAAATTTGTTTTAAAGCTTTGTAGGTGAAAACTCTAAGAAGGGATTTAATAGTCATATTTATTATTTATTATTTTTATTTTATATATATTGCCTGCATGTGTGTGAGTGCACCCATGTCGTGCAATGCCTATGGAGGTCAGAAGAGGGCTTTGGATCCCCTGGAACTGGAGTTAAGGATGGTTGTTAGCTGCCATGTGAGTGCTGGGAATTGAACCTGGGTCCTCTTCAAGAGCAGCCAGTGCTCCTAACCACTGAGCAATCTCTCCAGTCCCAGTGTTCTATATTTTTTAATTAAAATTTTTATCTATCATCTATCTATCTGTCTATCTATCTGTCTATCTATCTGTCTATCTATCTTCTATCTATCTATCTATCTATCTATCTATCTATCTATCTATCACTCATCTCTATCTATCTATCTATCTATCTATCTATCTATCTTCATCATCATCTATCAATCTATCATCTATCTATCTATCTATCTATCTATCTATCTATCTATCATCTAATCTATCAAGTGTTTGTACATATGTGTGTGAATGCATATGCTCATGCAGGTCAGAAGGCAACTTTCAGGAGTTGGTTCTCTCCTTCCATCATGTGGGTCCCAGGGTTCAAACTCAGGTCATTAGGCTTGACAGCAAATGCTTTTACCCACTGAGCCATCCCGCTGACCTCCTTCATATGTTTCTGAATAAGAACTTGCCTCTAACTGCCCTTTGAGGGACAGGTAGCCTGATTTCATGAGATTGGAGTTTTTTGGTGCCCTGATTTGGTCAGTATCTATATAGAACAATAATGAATTTCTTCTCATTTCTCTTCTCAGGGAATTTGGAAATTTGATCTAGAGTGCTATAAAAAGTATGGAAAAATATGGGGGTGAGTACTCTGGAAACTTCCATTGGGTAGACTTTACATTTTTTTTGGTTTATTTATTTTTATTTTATGTGTATGTGTGTTTTGCTTGCATGTATGTAAGTGCACCTGTGTTGTGCAAAGCCTGCAGAGATCAGAAGAGGGTATTGGAGCCCTTGGAACTGGAGTTATGGACGGTTGTTAGCCCATGTGGGTGCTGGGAACTGAACCTGGGTCCTTGGCAAGAGCAGTCAGTGCTCCTAACTGCTGAGCCATCTCACCATACAGTGTGGCTTTTCTTCATGTCTCATGGATCCTAGCCTCACATTTTATCCAATGTTGGGCTATTGTCCTCTTCTCCATTTTTCCCTTTGTTAACACCCTTTTTCATTACATGAATTTCACTATTTTGATCCTTGTAATACATTCTAGTAAACACACGGTACTAGCTCCTTACCACTTTGATTTAGTTTCAGTTAGAAGACCAAACTCCTTTATATCAATGTTGAATTTAATATGTACTTTTGAAAGTTGGGATGGTGAGCATTTGGAAAATAATTTATGGTTAGTGTTTCAAAAGACTTACTTTGCAAGTGTAGAGACTTTTGTTTTGTTTACATTTATTAACAAATCAAGATTTTTTTGGAGGGGGCATGTATGTCACAGTGTGCGTGTGTGTGTGTGTGTGTGTGTGTGTGTGTGTGTGTGTGTGAATTGGTTCTCTCCTTCCACCATCTGGGTCCTGGGGATCAAACTCAGGTTGTCAGGCTTGGCAGCAAGTGCCTTTACCCACTGAGCCATCACATACACTTTTAACAGAAGTGTGTGTGTGACTGTGTCCTATCTAATCAGCTGGCCGTGGAGATGCAGGATATTAAAAAACCACTGTGTTCCATTTTGTGCCCCTGTCCTTAATGGTTCTGTAGTGCGGCTGAGTCAACAGCCGTAACTATTCTCCCAGAGCTGGTAGAGGTTTGGTGAGAGCCTGGGAAGAGGTATCAGCAGTGTGCTATGAGACAGGAAGAAATGGGCAGAGGCTCTGCCTCTTCCTCTCCTCTTATCCATCCTCAGCAACAACAGGGCAGGTCCCAGGGTCTGCTGAGTTGACAAGGTCCATAAAGACCATGTGACCCAATGCTTAGAGCATGTTGTACTGCATGTTTAATGGTCCCAAATTAACTGCCCCTTGCAAATGTCAGCACTTGATAGTGTTAACTTTTCACTTTTCTAATGCTTTTTTTTTTTTTTGGTCTTTTTGAGACAGGGTCTCCCTATAGCCCCAGCTGTCCTGGGACTTACTTTGTAGACCAGGCTGGTCTTGAACTCACAGAGATCTGCCTGCCTCTGCCTCCCGAGTGCTGGGATTAAAGGCATGAGCTTCTACACCTGGCCCTAATGCCTTTTTTATGTAAATTTTTTTGAGACAGGGACTCCCAGCTGGCCTAGACTCACTATATAGATGAGTCTGGCCTTGAACTCACATAGATTTACCTATCTCTGCCTCCCGAGTGCTGGGATTGAAAGTGTGTACCACCACAACCAGCTTTGGATGGTGTTTTATCACAGCATCAGAAAAGCAAACTAGAAAAAGTACCTGTCATTTTATGAAGACTCCATTGGGTCTGTGTTCAGGATCCCTACCTTGAACTAGAAGTTCCTGTGGCTGTGTATTGTAATAACTGGGGTGTGTATCATTTAACATTAAGATCAGTCTGGATTCGTGGGTGAGGATCCAGCTGCAGAATCTGGCTTAGGTTCATCAGTTCTGTTTTTTTCAATGCAGGTTGTATGATGGTCGAAAGCCTGTATACGTGATCACAGATCCAGTGCTGATCAAGAAAGTGCTGGTGAAGGAATTCTATTCTACCTTCACTAATCGGCGGGTAGGCATCTTTTATTATTTATTTATTTATTTATTTATTTATCTATTATTTATTTATTATTTATCTATTTATTATTTATTTATTTATTTATTTAATATTTGAGACAGGGTCTTACATTTATGTGTATGAATGTATTGCCTGCATGTATGTGAGTGTACCTGTGTCGTGCAGTGCCGCAGAGGTCAGAAGAGGGCTCCAGATTGCCCTGGAACTGGAGTCAAGGATGGTTCATAGTCACCATGTACGTGCTGGGAATTGAACCCGGGTCCTCTCCAAGAGCAGTCAGTGCTCTTAATCACTGAGCCATCTCTCCAGCCCCATG